CACGAATTGGGAGCAGGTTTGTGACAAGCTGCCCTCCGAAAGGACTGGCCCCAAACGTGAGAAATACTATTCTCACGAATTGGGAGCAGGTTTGTTGGCTCTATGAATGGGCGCCTCTGACGAGCGCCACCTTACATTACCACTATATCCGGACCAACTTATCCTTCGAATTCAAATAGTCTCATTAGCATGGTTGTTATCGGCGTGGTTCACGGCAGCGTCCTTCATCCCAACAGTGTCCGGTGTAGCGTCTTGGTGTAAGGAACATAACAACGCGTACTATCTACAGTCTGTTAAACGCTCCTATCAGGTGTCTTTCCCTAGAAGAGTATGTAAATGCAATATAGATTCTATTAGCTGAACTTTAAGGTACCGATAAGAGCTATCTAGAGATATAAAAAGTAGGGAATAAGCCTAAGGCTTCGCTTAGTGTAGCCATAGCTTTAGGCCTTCGGCATATGCTTATCCTGTTATTCCGCATTAGGCCATATGCATAGCTTAATAAAATGTAAGGGGGTTATAGCCTATGCATAAAGAAAGGCAAGGGGCATAGCTTTAATTTTTTTTTTCTTAAATAAATAAGCCTTATTATACTTAGCCTTATATATTATACTTTACTACTACTAGGCCCTATATTATATAGCCTTACCTTACTACAGTCTTCTTTATTAAATATATATTATACACATAGTTAAGATTATAGTTATAGTTTTTATGTAACAGTCTGGTTGTTACGTTCCGAACGCCTTATGGTCGCCTGATCGGTACGTACCTGGATTAACTACGGACCGATCTGCCAATAAGGAACGAGTCGACGCAAGTCGCTCGTCGACCTTCAGCGACCTACGGTTGAAGTCGACACAAGTCGATCGTCGACCTCAGTCGACTTAACGATATCGACTGGATATATAAGATTCAGTTACTATACTCCTTAGATAGCTTAGATAGCCAGTCGTTAATATAGTAATAAGATTGATTATTGTATTCAACCTACTAGCTACCTGATAAGATTGCCTATTTGCACCCTACCGCCTCTGTTAATATAAACTACGAATAGTTTATTACCTTGAGAAACTACCCTATACTACCTGGTATAGACCGGTTCGTCATACGTTAACGAGTCTTGTTCAGATCGGTACTGTGCACCATTTGGGCAATAGAAAGCACTATGGCTCCTTAACCAACCCCTGAATCTGCTATCACTCTCAAAAGCCTTGCAGCAGCCTTAAAGGAACTTCAAGAGCAGAATGACCAACTGAAGGATGACCTGAAGTTGGCTCAGGATGCTAAAGCTGCCAAAATGATCAAGCTCAAGCAACTAGGACCCTTTGTTGGAAAGGCTGGTACCTTACAGACCTTTCTCAGTCAACCCAAGGTCTACCACACTGTCAACAGCGGACAGTTCCTGACCGTTGAAAGCAAGATCCTTCACGCTTCCAGTTATATAGAAGGAGCTGCCCTTAACTAGTTTGAACCCATTGCAAGAGACTATGTTGGAACAACAGATATATTTCGCAATAGCAAGACCAACCACATCTTCTCGGACTATGTAAACTTCGAAATTACACTCCAGTCAGTCTTCGGAACAATTGATGAAGAACGGGTTGCCGAGCAAAAACTCAGGGAAATTCATCAAAAAGGAGCTGCATCTGAGTATGTTTCTCAGTTCATGCAGATCTCCTCGAAGCTCGAATAGGGACACGAACCCTTAATAGGATACTTCTATAAAGGATTAAAGGAAGAAGTAAAGGACGAACTATACAAAATCAATCATCCCGATACTCTCCAGGAATACATAAACGAAGCTGTCAAAATCGACGACCGACAGTATAAGCGCCAAAAGGAGCGTAAGGGAAAGTCGCAACTTTTCCCTCTACGCTACTACAAGGCCAACCAGGGCAAAAAACGACATAAAGAAATCGCTCATGCCCATAGAACAAACCCTGGACGGATGGATCTCGACGCCATCACCAAGGGCAAGAAGTTCCTCTGCTACAACTGTGGCAAGGAGGGACACATGGCTCGGAATTGTCGATCTAAGAAAATCGACAAACCTCAGGAACGACCTAGACAAACAGTCAATGCCATCTACAGGTTCGAGCAACCGTTAAACCAAGAATACGGCAATAATAGGATCTCTGACTCGGACATAGCTCAAGTTATGGAGAAACTTGAACTTGATGAACTAACACAAGCTCTAGTGGAGAAACCTACCTTAAGGAAGTCGACAGCCCTAAGGACGTAGCGCCAGTATACAACGCTATGCCCCCATCGGAAACCGCTGACACTATTGCAATCGATACCGCACCCCTGCTATGGGACATCCCTAAGGCACAGCAGCGTGTGCAAATTCGCGCAATATCGCTCACGGATCCAACCCGAATTGACACCCTTGAGGTATCCCGACCTGTGGTCAGGATTCTCAGAAAATACAACCTTGAAACACGACAACAGCTCGTAGATTGGGAAGAGGCACAATGCGACACCTGCTTCACCAAAGAATGTGGTTACCAGAACCCTGACTCGTGCACTGAGTTCTATTGCAGAACTCACATAGTTAACAAGATAGCAGACTGGCACGCCTGCTCGTGCGATTTCCTAGATTTTGGAAACTGCGATCATGGCGAAGAATGCCGACGCCACTGCAACGAATACCACCATAACGCCTGGATTAAGAAAAAACTCCAGAAGTCCGGCTATAACTTCCGAACCCACACGGGAAAAGGAAGCATAAAAGACGTCAAGAAGTACCATAGGTACAACTTCATAAGCATGCCCGTCAGTGGATGCCACTGGTGTAAAGTATACAACAAGAACCCCCAAGTGCTATGGACATCGGACGTAGGCTGCACTTCGTTCGTGGCAATAGGCTTCGCGGGAGAAAGGAGGACGCAGATACGATTAATATCTGGTACCTGGATCCGGACGTTTCCGTTACTAACCTTACGACCAACCAGATAGTATATAGTATATAGCCGATACTTATTAGGGATACGTAGGAGGAGACAATCTTTAAAGGGCCGATGGTTATTATTGTAAAGGAAGGTAGTGTTTTTAATCCGCGGTATATAAAAGACGTAATACTAATAGCTTACTAAGACGCTATTAACTTTTTAGGCTATTATATTAAGACTAATAGTAGTATAATAGACGGGATTAAGGCGGAGATAATACTTATATAGTAAGTAATAGTAGAAAGTAGGGCTAGTAAAATAATAGGGTAGCGGATTAACTATAGGTATAATTAAGTAATACAGGGCTTAGGTAATATAATATTAGTTATAGTTTTATAGGTATATTTGCTTTTTTAACTTAAAGGCGATAATTTACTAAATATACCTAAGGTACTAGGGTTTAAGTAGGTTATAAAAGTATATAACTGCAGTAGTAAAGATAAGGCTAAGCTTAAAAATAAAATAGCGTAACTTCTTTTACTTTAGGCTATAGTAAAAGATAGGAAATAGGAGGGTATATATAGTTAAATAAATAGCTTAGTAATTAAAAGTATTTTATTAGTAGTAAGGTAAGGGAAAGAGGAAATTAAAAGTAAAGTAATAAAAGGGATTTGTAAATTAATCTAGGATATTATTATTCCTTTTATAATAGAAGAGCAGGTACTGTAACTAGATAGTAGGAGGGAGATTATAAATGCGGTTAAGGTAAAGGGAAAAAATAGGTTATTATTTAATGTAATAGAAGCTTAAGTATTAGGCTGGAGTTATAAAGGATAAATATAAGTAGCTAGGTTATATAGAGTAAAGGTAGTAAATTTATATTTTTAAGTAGTTTACTATATATTTTCGCTAGCTTTTTTTCTTAAAAGCTTTAGTATATAGTTAAAATCTTTGAAATTAGTAGCTTTAAAAAGTTATTTATTTAGATAATAAAGAAGTATCTTTATCCTCAATACTTTAGCAGGTCTCTGTTATCCTTACCTATACAGTTCTCTATTTTAAAAGATATAATCTGAAAAGCATCTTGGATTACCTTAACGAGCTAAGGCCAGCCTCTAATCTCAGGGTTAGCATTCTCATAATGCTGTGCGAGAGCGTTAAACGTGAAGTCAGGCGATGCGGACCACGCATATATGCCGTTCCCAAGCCCATCCGACAACGGCTATACGGGATCAAAGAAGGAAAAAGTAACCTAATACCTCGTAGTTAATGTTTATATTATCTTTAGTAGAGTTAATTTTCTTACCCTACTCTGCTAAAGGTAGAGTTAATTTATTTAATAAAGGTAAAGTTTATTTAATATTAGATAATTAAATTATATTAAAGTACCTAATATAATTATAGTTCCTGGCTTAGTAATTTATAAATATATAGGATCTTATATACCTTTGGATTACCTCCTGGCTTATTCTCTTGCCTACTATTATAATATACTACGGCTTTTTACTAAAATAAAATAATATTATATTAGTTATTATAAATTTATTAAGCTGTATTATAATAAGCCTAGTTGCCTTTTAGACGTAGATAGTTACCTAGTATAATTTATAAAAACCTTTAATTATTTATATAAATATTATATATATAAATAGCTAAAAAATAAGTTTTATTATTATATAAATTATAAAATAAATTAAGTAATTAAAGGGCCTTTAGTTTCTTTTTTAAGGTTATATTAAAAAATAGCTATTATTAAGCTATATCTACAGACTTATTTTTTATAAAAGAGTTTAGTATAATAAAGAGATTACTTTAAGTAAAAAAGATAATTTAGTTTATAAATATATTATATATATATAAGTTAAGCTTTTATAAATATATACTATAATAAATATTAAAGTTACTTAGTAAAAATATACTATACTTTAAATATTTAAGCTTTATAAGTAAATGCTTATTAGTAATATACTTTTTATTATAGGAAAATACTATTATTTATATAAGAAATTATTAGTAGTTATTTTATATACCTTTATGTAATAAACCAGGTCCTATAGATTAGTATAGGTTAGCTGTTTCCAAGGGACAAACCTTAGAGTGGTTCTATAGTTTATATTAGCAAAGCAATTAGGTCAGTAATAGGTAATCTTATTACCAGCTAGTAATATAAATAAAAATAAATATCTATATTCTAATTTAATTATATTATAAATGCTATAATAATAATTAGCTATTTAAGGATTTTAATAAATAATATAAAGTAAACTTATATATTTAGTTAACCTAGACTAAATTAATATATAGAATATTAATCCTTCCCTAGATTAATAAATAGTTTATTAATCTACTGTTAAATTAAGAAGTTATATTTTAATCCTTCCTTAATTAGTTAAAGGATTAAAGTTAATCTAGTTTAGGCTAACCTATTAGTCTATTATTATAACCTTAAGAGTTAGGTTATAATATAATATCCCTTTTTTATTAATTTTATTTTTAAAACCTTACTGTATTTAGTATAAGTAGCTACTTCCTTTATTTTCGTTAATATTTTTATTTTTCTATTATATTTATATATTTTTATTAATTATTATATTAAGTATTTATAAAAACTCTTATCTTAAGATAAAGTATTATAATACTTTTTTAAAAATTATTTTATTTTATTTTATTAAAATAAAAAACTATATATATTATTTTAATAAAAAAAAGTAAAGCTTTTTAAAATATTAAATATCTAAAGAAGATTTTACTTATTATACTAAATATATAAAGGATAATAAATCCTTATATAATATATATTTATTATTATTAGCTTAACTTTAAAAAATTACTTTATTTTATACTTAGTATAAAAATACTTTTAAAAAAGCTAAAGAAAAACGTAAAATAGTTAATATAAAGATTAAATATCTTTATAAATAAAAACGTCTATAGCTAAAGAAGATAACGTATATAATTACGTAGGGTATTAATAATTTAAAGAAGTTAAATAAGGTTAAATATAAGAAAGCGGAGACTGCTTATTAAGCTACTATAGTATAATTAGTAAAAGGTTTTTTTAAAGTTATCCCTGCTTCTTTAAAATTAGTAAATTATTTAAAGATATTAATAATAGATCCTAAGCTAGCGTAATCCATAGGTTTTAATAAAGTTTTTCTACTAGTGCTATTAAGTTTTTAAAATACTTAATAAATTTTTATATTTTTTTTTTTTTTTCCTTTTTCCTATTATACTTTATAATATTATTTACTATCTTCTTTTATTTTTATTATATTAATATCTTTTACTTTATATTCTTCTTTTTCTCCTTTAATAATAATTTTATTTTAAATAAACTTTTTAGTTTCCTTATTAATTTATACTTTTTTTAATAAGGAAATATAAAATATTAAATATATATATTTTCCTTATTTTTTTTATTATTTTAAAAGTTTAAGTTTATAATTTATTTTTTTAATTTTTTTTTAAAATTTTATAAAATTTAAGTTTTTTAAAATTAAGTTTATTACTTAGCTTATTTATTTTAATATTTACTTATTTATTTCCTTATATATATTAGTAAAACTAAACTATATCCTTTTCCTAAAGGGTTAGTTTTTTAATTTTATTTTTATTTATATATTTAATTATCTTTTATTAAATAAATTTAAGTTATTATTATAGTTTATTATATAATTTAATTATATCTTTTACCTTTATTATAGCTTTTTTAATATCTTCCCCTTACTTTTATAATTAATAAACTTTAGGTTTAAATCTATAGTTTAAGAAGAATAGTAATTTCCTAATTAATTTTAATTTTATGCTATTATAAGTAAGTTATATAATAAGGAGGAGTTTTACTTAGTTATTTTACTTAAAATTAATATAGTAGTATAAATAAGTTTTAATTATTTAGTTAATCTTTTTTATTTATTTATTTATTTATAAGTAGTAGGCTATACTAGCTTTATAATTTATTTTTAGCTTAGTTATAAATATTTTTTAAAATTTAAATAAAAATATATTTCCCTTATTAAAGATTATATTTTTTAGTAATTTATAGTTATTTATAATATATTTTATTATTATATAAGTTAGTTCTTTTATATTACTAGCTTCCTTAAATAATATAAAGTAGGTTATTTTTATAAGTTTATTAACTATTATAAAAATACTATTATAAAATACCTTTATAACTAATTCTTTTAAAAAAAAGTAGCTTAGTAATTAAGTTAAATAAGATTAATTTCTATAGTTTTTATAGTATAAGTAATAGTTATAGTTATTTATATAGCTTATATTTAGAGCTTTTAGCTTATTTATATATTATATATTCTTATATAACCTTTTATACCTATGTTTTAATACCCTTAAATTTAAAATATTATTTAACTTACTATATAGTTTTTTTAATTTTATAATATTTATTAAGCTTATATATATAAACTAATTTTACTACTTTACTCCGTAAGTCTTTTAGTACCTAAATAAGTTTATTTAGTATTAGGTATTTAATATTTATAAAAATACTTTTTAAATATTATTTATTTTCCTAGTTTTTAATATATTTTTTTATATTATTAATAATTAAGTTATCTATCTTAATTTAATATAAGGTATTAATTAATTAAATAACTAAGTTTTTATATTAGTTTTCTTTTAGTATTTATACTTTAACTTTTAGAAGTTTTTAAAAGTAGTTTAGGTATTTACTAAGTATATTAGTATATTTATTATTTAATTTATTATAGTATTTAATAATAAGCTTAAATTTAAAAAATTACTTATAGTACTTAACTTATTTATAAAATAGTTTTTATATTATTATAAAGTAAGTAATATTTTAGTAATTTATAAAGATTATTATTAAAAATTAGCTTTTTTTATAGTAATATTTTTAATATTACTTACTAAGTACTTAGTATATAGCTATAAACTTTTTATTATAAATAAGATATTTAAGTTCTAGTTTATTTAATTTTTTAGAAAAGTAAGTAATAGGCTTAAGTTTCCTTTTTTTATTTAGTTAGCTAAGTATTTCTTTAATTATATAGTCTAAGGTATTAGTTTTAATTATAATAGGTTTATTTAAGTTAAATATTATAAATACTAGTATACTTATAAAAGCTTATTTAAGGTATTTAAAGGTAACTAAAATATCTTATATAAGTTTAAATTTAATATTTCTTTTTATTAAGTTTATAAATAGTATAATAATTCTTAAAAAGTCCTTAATAAAGTATTAGTAGTAATTAATAAATCTTAAAAAGCTTTATATTTACTTAACGTTTTATAGCAGTTTTTAATTATTAATTACTTTAAG